TTTGCACTGACCGAAATGGCCGCGCCGAAAGGCACAGCCAAAAGCGGTCAATTAAAGCTGTAGAAATCCCACATCAAAGTGTGCGAACGAGATTGAGATTAGCACAAATATTTGCTGATGAAGTCGCAGGGATGAGTAAAACTTTTGCTTTCTGCAGTTCTGATATGACGGGGAGTAAAACCACATTCCCCATCAGCCGACGGGGTGTGATGTGGTCTGACAGCCCGAAGCCGCGGGAGACGAGGACGGAATTTGCCATTTAAACCCGTTTTACTGTTCAGCTGCAAACCTTTTTCCCATGGAGGATGTACAGCGGGGCTCGCTTGCAAAAGGAGCGTGAATGAGAGCAGCAGTGGCACCGCTTTTCATGGAATTAAAGGTTAAATTAGTTGAAGGAACCATAATTTAGGTGCTGTGGCGTCCGGCTGGAGAAGGATGGAGCGAGGCTGCGGCGGGCAGCCCTTTCCCCGGCTGGGAGAGGATGGGATGGATCCCATCCCTGCAGCGAGCCCAACTGCGCTGAAGTACTAAACCTTAAATTAGCGCTTTCCAGTCCTGATTTGGCTCTAGGGAATCGCAGCGGGATCTTGTGAAAAGCCTCACTAATTAATTTATGCAACGGACATCATTAAGGCGGCAAACTCAGGCACTGCAGCAGCAAACGCTGGAGGTTCCCTTAGTGCCTCCAGCTGCAAACTGGCCGTTCCTGTCCCATTTAAATGAGTTTTGGGGCTGCTGAGGAGGTTTTTTTGGCTCACCCCATACTGCATACGACTAAGGGAGACCCCAGACTGCCCAGCTTGGGCTGAGGGTTGGAACTGGGACCCAGTATAGAGCAGGCGGAGTCCAGCAGCCACTTCCATCCAGCAGCTTAGCAAAATCATTGCGTAGATCTCCACCAGGCCCCAGATCTAGTTATTTGTCCATGAAATCTATCCCAAAAGCTCCCCGAGCCCCATTTTTGCCCTTTCTGGCTGCTTGCGCAGGGCTCGTCTCGCCTTGTGTGTGGGTCTCCCCTTGCCCGGGGACAGCCCGTCCCCTCCTTACCCCAAAACACCCACAAACCCCTCTTAAGGTCCTCACCGTGCTTCTAGGGGGGCAAAATTTCCTCTGCGGAGGTACGACTGGCAAAGTCGAGTGGCAGTCGGGTGCCTGGGCTCGTCAAGCTGGCCTTGCTGGCGCTCGGCAATTAATATGCCGGGCAGCCCCGCTCGGGGGAAGAAGCGGCATCTTTATTGAAGGCGCTTGGTATGCCGGCTGCACGCAGAGCCCGCCGACGTGCCGCTGAGGGCACGATTGTAGCACGGCTTGGCCCTTCAGAGGGTTTAGAGTGTTCTCCTGCAGCCTCAGTTTTTGGTTTTATCGGTTTATCGGAGGAAACTTTCCGCCTGTAAATCCCAGAGGGATTTGTGTGGTGGGAAGGGAATCCCCATCCGCCGGCTATCGGAGGGGAACGGGGCTCTGCTGGTGGAAAATCTCCCTCCCGCATCAGCATCACCCCCTCAAACAGCTCCAGACCCCCAAATTTTGGCCGCTGGTTGATGGCCAGCGGTTTGAACTGTCCCTGTTGGTCCCGAGCATTAAACACCGCCTGAGTCATTTCTTCCTGCAGTTAATGATTGCATGGGCCTGACGCTGCCAGAAGCGGTGGCCAGTTAATGATTAAAACCCATAAATAAGGGCTCGCTCGTTCCCCATGCGCAAAGCCGCTCTGTGACCTTTCCCCACCTCCAGCAGCATTGCCAGAAGAGGGGGGGGGGGAAACCCCACTCAGGAATAAACCCCCCCCCCGGTCCCATCGCCCTTCCCCGCTCCCTCCGCACCCCGAGAGCATCGCGCCGGAGCGATGTGAAACGGAGCAAAGTTTCAAATCCTGTTTAAAATCAGACTGTGGAATTTCTTCAGTTTAATATTAAGCTTTTTAAAAGCTCCGCCTGCCTCTCCCCCGTGGCCGGCAGGGCTTGTCCATTATCTATCCCTTACGGTAATGTTAGTATAAATAAATGGATGATTTAAGGTCGGCTCCTGCCTGCTCATCTCTGAGTGCATCTCTCTAGATGGAGGCAGCAAAGCATCCGTATGCATTTGCGCTGCCGGAAGAGTGCTTATTCTTTATCATCTGTTTTGCAGAAAGGAAAGCATGGTATAAAATCTTATTTGCGTGGGGGGAGGTGGGGAAACACCAAAAAGTGAAATTTAAAGATCTCTGGACATCTAGTGCCAGGGTTTGAACTTGCTGGGGAAATTCCTCCTGGTGCACGCGAGGGGGGGAGCCGGGAGAGGGACCCGCTGCTGCTTTTGCAGATGTGCTTTTATTTAATTTAAGGCATTTTTTAAAGGGAATAAAAATCATTCCCAATTCACCTGTGGCACTGCCGTGTCCCTGCACCAGCAATCTTCCCGGGCCGAGGGCCGACGGTGACAATCAGCGCCATGGAAAGCAAATCTCTCCTCTCTTGAGTGCGTTAATGGTGTGGTGTAGAAGCCGGAGAGTTTTATTGCTGTTCCCATCCCTGCAGGCACAAATCTGTTTGGTTTTTTTTTTAGCAATGAGTTGTATGACATAATTAACGGCTTGCGGAGTATCGGGTGTTAATTACTGGCTGGTGGGGAAACGGTGCTGGGGTAGAGCCTGCAATGTGCTTGCGGGGTTCTGGCCTGATTTCTGCTGCCGGAGGTTTGGGGTTTGCCTGTGACTCCGTAGAGAAGGGGAGAGAGAGCCTGAAACTCCTGCTAAAACCTCGGGTGAACCAAAGTTTTATGGTGAATCATTCTCGTAAACGTGACTTAAAATTAACGTGGAAATTTTAGGCGATGTTGAGGGTTATCTGTGGACCTGATGGTTTAAGTCGGGTTTAAGTCTGCTGCTTCTGACATCCCTGAGCTGTGTCCCCGCCTGG